TGTTCTTTAGGAGAACATTCTGTAATCTTGAGCCAACTATTATGCACTATGCTGTAGGGCTGGGCCATATACCGTTCACGGTAATACCGGTATAATGTTAGGCAACGATAGGAAAATGAAATATCGCGATAGAATATGAGTAAAACGCGCATGCGCAGTGCCTTTGTTTTCATACACACATGGCCAATTGTTGAGTGAAACAGATGAACCAGAATTGGTTTGTAAAAATGGTGCAACTTCAGTGATGTGGAACTGGTTTGGTGTTTGTCCGTCAGATACACGACAAAGCACATTTTTTTGCAGAACATGCAAGCCGCCGTCGTTATTGTATTTGTCGGACTAGGATGCTCTTAAATCTGGGAGTAATCTGGGTCCTAAACTCCGTCTTTTTCAGGTCAAACACTGCAGCATCACTGAGAGTTAAAAAATCTCTAAATTCTTTCATCTTTAATAAAACGATCAGCGTTGCTGCTTTACCAAGTGTATCTATGAAGTTTAACTTCCAGGCATCCATGAAAACAAAATGTATTACATTTAACGGAGTTAGAAGTTAGCAGGAAGCTAGCGGACGTTAGCTCGCTAGTTTCGCTAGTTACCTAAGCATGATATAGCATGTTCTGACTGAGAGATTTCTGAAAAAATTCAAACGTACAGCTCTGCTATCACTTCCAACATAAATGAAGACAGAAAACTAAACAGCAGTGACGTTTGTAGGGTTACTGAAGTTGGGCTAGCTGGTATATAATGATGTGCTATGTGATTGCTAGCGACACAGCTATGTTAGCATAACATAAACAGTGAAGCTGGAGGACGAACACTAACACTTTTCCACTTATAAAAGTTAGTGAAGGTTCCTCATGGTTAGAGACAAATGCAATCGCATGGCAGGATGCTGTAAACGGACCAAACTTCAGTCAGGAGAACAACTGAGATAATCCATCCACAATACAAGGTTAGTTATTAATATACTGCAACAACATGGGAATAGAGCAGCTGCCAGAGAATTCAACATTTATGAATCAAAGGTACAGAAGTGGAGGAAGCAAGAAGAATGAGTTTAATAAAGTTTGATTTATCTGACTGCTTTGTTTCGCTTAATGTGCCTTATAATTCTGTGCACCTTATGGTCCGAAAAATATGTACTGCACACTGCAGTTTAATGTTGCAAAGCACCTCTTTTTAACTTCAGTGGATATTATACATGGTTATGCTCAGGATATGTCAGCCCATTTCTACTGGAAATACCTTTTGGTTAAACTTTCAGCAAGGAATTTGCATTTGCACTGTTAAATTTTTACAAAGCTTTAATGTACATAAAAACCAGCTTCTTGTTTAAGTGAAAATAAATGGAAGGTTGTCTTTTTGCGCTAGTAATGTTGTGGAGTTGTATTTTGTCTCGCATCAATTATATCGTCAGTTATATCGTTATCGCAAATTTTCAAATATATATTGTGATAAATATTTTTGGCCATATCGCCCTGCTCTACTATGCTGTAAGACCTGCAATATATGAAGCAACTGCTTTGATTAGTTTTTGAGTCATGTCCACTCCAGATAGTTGGTTTTCTTGTTGTGTCTTGTCCAAAGCCCAGTTTTGTACCTCTGCAATTCCACAATTCACTCACCACTCGTGAGACAATAGCTTTACACTATGAGTTACTGAGTTATAAGAAAAGAGTCTTATGTTACTCAAACTACGACCTAAGAGCACTTTTCTACTTCAAGTTAATTAAAGTCGACCATTTCTGTTTTATATAAACAGTGTAAACTATTGCTGGGATTCCTGGAATGGTGCCGTGGCTCTGTGCCCACCCGTTTCCTTCAGATAGAGGCCAGAGTGTCCACAGTGGCAGTCTAAATATGGCAGAAGGGGAGGCTGGTTCTTTATTGGACTTTATAATATTCCCACCAACAATAGCCAGCTGTTAAAATACCAAGCTGGTATCAGTGCGTGTCAAGACTGAGCAGTAAATGAACTGTAACCTAAAACTGATCTAATGAAAAACTTTGTGTTTTTCTTCTAAAGTACTTTCTTTGAGTGCAATGACCAATTAGACCTTTTTTGAATTCAAAAACTAAAAATATCTACTGACCAGTAAAAGAAACCATATGCTGGCAGTGGAGGTGTGTCCAGAAATACTCCACTTATAATAAACCTTTTAAGACTTCATGATTTTTAATCTAAAAACTCAAAGTTAAGATTGAAAAGCATCTAATCTATGACCTACGTTGAGAATCTCAAACAGCTTCTTCTTTTTGGAAGGTTCCTCTACCCAAAGCAGGATCTGTCGGACGTTGGCGCACGGCTGGTTCTTCTCCCCAATAGTGATACGTACAGGGTCACGGACCAACCGGGCAGCCAGCTCCTCCGTCCCGGTGGGGATGGTGGCCGACGCCAGAAGAGTCTGATGTTCTTCTGGGACTTGCTCAAGAACCTCCAGAACCTGCTGCTGGAAGCCCATCTTCAACATAGTGTCCACCTACAGGATGCAGCACAACTTTCATGTTGCAGGACTCTCAAAACTGATTTGAATGATGAATACTTTCAAAAGCTGTCATTATGTTGTTTGTTCTAAAAGACACAACTTTTACATTACTAATCCTTAAAGCTATATAAATTGAATTGAACTGAATTACTTTGTCTTAAAGTGCACAGTTTTTGTCAATTGTGAATTTCAATATGTTTGTCCTACCTCGTCAACCACCACAACATTCACTTTGTCAAGCTTCAGCTCTTTCTGCTTCAAGATTTCAATGAGCCGCCCAGGAGTAGCGATGACAATCTAAAGGAGATTGAGAAATGAACAAAACCATGGCATGGGACAAATGTACAGCCTCAAGCTTTGACTGCAGCAGGAGGAAATTATTGTTTAAGAAAAACAAAACAAAACGGAATCTGTACTTTGATGCTGCTCTTCAGGCGGTGGAGCTGTGGGGGAAGCGGCATGCCTCCGACCAGCAGGGCAGTTCTCATATTGGGGAGTCCCATCACAAGCTCCTTGGCCTGTCTCTCTATCTGAATGGCCAACTCCCTGGTGGGGGTCAGGATCAAAGCCACAGGGCTGCCCACACTGTGTGCTGATTTCTGAAAGCAGAAGCAATGTTGCACACTGCATGTCACCAAGAGAGCATTTGTGAATTTTTAAATGTAAAATTGTTTGTGTCTTTTTGAGAATACATTTATTCAATTCGACTCTTTTATCTGCAGAGGTCACTGGCAGCTACGGAGCAGCTTTTCTGTCAGATACTGGAGTCTAGTGTCTTCCTAAGGGGTAGCTCAGGAGGGCAAATGCTTGATACAAAAGCAGATTCAGTCCAGATTTACATATTTAGATCTGGGCTGTGGTGCTATTTATCCAGGCTGTAGAAATGTCTGCCTCTTCAAATATAATTTAACTTGATGGCATTTGCATGTGGCATATTAGCTTCAATACTGTACCTCGAGTGCCCTCACGACCACTGGCAGCAGAAAGGCTACAGTCTTCCCCGATCCTGTGTCAGCGCTCGCAATCACATCTCTGCCTGTGAGGCCAACAGGGACCATCTGCATCTGGACTGGGGTAGGTGTGTCATACCCCGCCTTTTTCAGGTTACCACTTAATGTGGGAGGGAAGCTGCAGTGCTCAAATTCAACAACAGGTCTTGCGACATCTCTCCCCTGGGTTTCTATGCCCAGCTCCTGTTTAATTCGTTGCACTTGCTCCTCTGTTAGGCCTGATATGAACCGATCTTCCCTATAGGAGTAGCCTGGTTCACTTTCAACCACCCTACCAGGGTCAGCAGCTGGCTGTTGACTTTGAACAGTCCTTTCATGTCTATTTTGGTCCTTTTGCATAAATGCATCTGCTCCAGTCCCCATGCCCATTTGCACTAAATGGCTGGCTTTGCATTCGAGACTGCAAACATCATTATCTGTAGCATCACAGATGTACTCTCCATAGCGACCACACATCACACAGACAGGTTCTCCTGGCCCAGGCCATCTCTGGTTCTTTTTAAATGATTTCACTGGTTCCTCCTCCTCCTCCTCATCATCATCATCACTGTCATCTGAGAGGGAGCTGTGTCCATCTTCAGGCGCTAAGCTCTCTGCAGCTGCGTGTATTGTCGCATCTCGTGTTTGGGTGTCTTCACATGCTTCCTCGCTCTGAGCAGGTGTCTCGGAGCTACTTTTGCTATCCTCCTCTTGAACAACTTTGCTTTTCTTAACCACAACTTGAGCCGATCCCTCGGCAGGTCTCTTCACCTTCAGGGCTCGTGGCAGAAACATGTTTAAATACTACCTGTAACCACAACAAAGCAGATGTAAACGCTCAGTTACGCCAAAAGATTTAGGTGGCATGTTATGGCAGCAGCTGCAAATAAATTGAGTATGAAGAACCTCCATAGCTCACTTTTTTTAAAAGGGCCAAGTTGACTTTTTCCAAATAAAAATTTTAAATAACTCCTGCTGCGAAGAAACCAAGTTTTTGAGTATTTTGAAATTACACTTCTGAGCCACCATTTGGTTGTTACTTACAAAAACAACATTACCTCTTCGCGTCAAATCCTCCGACAGTCGCAAACAGTTCCCGACGCACACTGATGCCGCAACATTACTTCCTTTGCACGTTGGGAATTGTAGTTCGTAGAGCTGAGTCGCTCCCCCCCCCCCTGTTATTTACATCGCTGTCTTTAGCAAAATTGTATTTAAAACATGACGTTTTAAAAATGTGTATCTTTGTATACTGACCTCTTCTTATTCATTTCATTTTTTTAATATGTCATATTTTACATTAAGGGTGCGTTCAGGGTAACAGAGTATGAGTAAAAGTAATAAAAATGCAGCCCATTAAACGAATCCGGGTTGGACATTTTGCAGTGTAGCAAGTTAATGCCGTTTTACCGACCATATTGCGGTACAATATGTTTGTGGGCGGTTGATTCCAAAGAATTAAGATAAAAGTGTTAAAATTCCCAGTGGAGTTTGAAAGCACCGTTCACACATGCGCGTTGGACAACAAAACGTGCAGAGCTAGAGAAAGCCTCAGTGCGGCAGGAAAACCGCATCACGGCACCGAATAGAGGACCGAATGCAAAACACACAGGTTATTCATACAATGACACATGGCCATGAAAGGAAGAAGCCGTCTGCTGCCAAACAACTCAAATAATGGGAATATTGTTGTTTTCATTCCAGTCGACGAGCATTTTTCCCTCCTCTCTGATTTTCAAGGAAACCTAGCTTGTTCAGACGGAGAGCCTTTCAACTGGTAGAAAACAGAATGGATGAAAAACACCAGGAGTAGCGACCTATTGTGTGAACGAGACCGAAAAAAACAAAACAAACCTAGCCCCAAGATAATTTTATTACTGGAATATCTGTGAATAATCTGCGGAAAGACAGACCATCTCTTCAGTTTCCAGCTGTTTATAGTTTTCCACCACATTCCAGTACCGGGATGCTTTCGCTTCGTAGGGTTTGAGGGAACAATCAAGGGGTGAAATATGGGTGAAGTTCAGGACGTCAGGGATGTTAAGAAGACGTTCGTTGCTCCTGCAATAAAGTCTTTTGAGCACTATGACTTCTCCCGAGCCAAAATGTGTTGCAGCCTCACATGGTTGGTGGCCAAAGCATACGGGACAGGTAGGTTCATCACCGCACCACTGCAACAGTTAACCGGACGCAGCACGAGTCTGTTTATGATTTTAATGCTTTTCTTTTGATTGTTTGTTTTTAATGCATGCTTGTCAGAATCCAAATAAACCCAAAGCAACAAATGTGTAATGGAGATTTATGATTTATTATCAGTCAATTCCCATATGGGCTGGTTCACATGGAAACTGCCATCGTTTGCATTCATTTCTTATGAGGAAAGCAATACGTGTTATACCAAACGAAAGAAAGGTTTAAAAAAACACTTCCTGTGGTCCCTAATCAATGGGGTGGGTGGGGGGTATTTAATGGAGAATACTTATAGAGATATCAAAGTACCTGTTTCAAATGATGTCACCTCCAGGGTGCTGCATCCATGTCAGAACTGCAAAGTAAGTATGGCATGACATCCTGTGACACCTAACGAAGTGGATGTAATCCCACAGTTTCAGTGGAGTTAGCATTAAATACTATAACTGATATAGGGGATGCATGGATGCATATCCAGCAATGCAGTGATAATAAAGTGGCAAATCAGTGTGATTATGTGGCTTGCATTTGAGCATCTATAATAGAAAACTACAGCACAAACATCTGTTTTGGTGGAGTATCCACATCTTTTTTGGATGCACGAGGTAAAATGAACAACAGCGGGAAAAGGTGTTTTTTCAATTTTATAAAAAGGATCCAAGCAGTAACTGCAAATGTGTCTTAATAAATGCAGTGCAAGATCCTTCTGTGCTATCCTTTTCCCATTTTATCAACTCGTTCATCTTTATCTCTTTTTTTGTTGTTATTGTATTATATTCCTGATACATACACATCGTCTCAGTTTATTTGAGAGCGTCATTCCTTGTTTCTGTGTTGCTTATATCTCAGCAAACATGAGATCCCTTGCTGATTCTCTTGTGTATTTTCAGTCAGAACTGAATGAAATGGGCTGATTCCAAAAATACAGCCCCCCAGAGAGGGAGGGGAAGGGCAAGAAAGAGAAAGGGAGCGAAATCATCTCCAGATCCCAGCCTACGCTGCTGTGAAAGCTTTACATGCATCCGCCTCATTAGATTGAGGCGAGAGTACATCAAGAATATGCAGTCGAGTACATGCGAGATGTGAGCTGTACAGCAGATCATCTGCTGTCAGGAGTCGCTGTCAAATGCTATCCCCCAACATTTACAGTGTCCTGATTCAGAACTCAGAACAGCAGCGCCATTTAATACCAGGTAAAAACCAGAGGCTGACAGACAATGAGTGTAATTCCCTCTGTATTCACTTAACAAGACGTTTTTCCAGATGTCCTTGTTTAAAGTATTAAGTTGTAACAATGACTGAATGGAAGATTGTGAGTCTGCATGAGTAAAAGCTCAAATACTACCAAGCTAATGAAATATTAAAAGATAAAACCGACTTTATCATGCTCAACGTTTTCTTTGTCCTTAAAACGATTAGGAGCATTACAGAATATAAACCAGGAACACAAAATGTTGAAAGATAACATAAAAAATCGTCTCCTAAGCAACTCCAGAGGTGGTGTTCAGTGAGCTCAGCCTGACCTCTGACCTCTCCCTGTGGATGATGAAGGCGGTGCGGGGGGTTAATATAAAGACAGTGTATTTTTTGTTGTTTGTTAGGATCCTTAATATGAATATAGTGCTGACAGGAAACCCTGTAACCTGGATAGTTGCTACTTCTGCCTGCGATTCTGTTCTGTAATAACAAGGTGTACAGATGACCTTGCTGATAGCGGTCAGTCAAAGCAGGTGATTCATTGACCTCCGTGTGCATGTGCTGGAGGATGGGCAGCATAAAGCTGTCAGTGTGTGGATCACCACTCGCACACACACACACACACACACACACAGGCTTTTATCCTAATTAAGATCCATTCTCCGTGCCAAGGAGACAGGGACGAGCCCTGCGTCTGTTTTGCTTGCAGACATAATTTAATGTTTTCAAATAGTCTCATTTGAAAACGCTTAATCATGGCTTCCTTAATCTGCACCAGGGAAAGAAGGGTTTGCAGTAGCTTTACTAACAACTGTGCATAACATACTTTATGTTCCCAGACGTGGATTTGTGAAAACACTTGATAGAAAGGTGTGGGCCAGAATTGCTCAAATTATTTGTACGCTATCCCCCGTGCAGTGGACTTGCCTGAGGTAATGAACACACATGCACACACCCTCACGTGCAGCCTTTCTCTTTGATGAGGCAGGCAGTGAGAAGGGTGTTCCCAGGGAGCTGGAAGCTGCAGAGATACACACTCGATGAATCGATCAGGTTACCGTTCATCCTGCAGTTGCTATAGCAACGCCAAGGTCTATCCACACATATCCATGTGATGTTATTGTCAAAGCATGGCAACGAAAACAAGTAGTTGTGCCAAAGTATTGCTAGACAATCTGTCCACAGAGGGAAAAATCCTCAGTGAAGACAGATTTAGAATAACACGGCCCAAACTTGATATTAGCTCATCTGAGTTTATCCTATTTTTTTAAATCGTATTAGAAAATTTAAATGACTATTCATTAGAAAGGTAGAAAACTAATGCTCCAGAATGCTTTCATCTTTTTTCCTCTGTTTACATCAGCGCTTTTAATTATATACTTGTTTACCTTCTCGTATATGATCCTCAATGATGTGGCAAGGCAAGCAATTTAGAAACATGCTGATGTTTGCCAGCATTTTAATGTCTAATATGAATTGATTCATAAATTGTTATTTAAATGATTTGGCGCCATGTTGCTATTAATCTCTGCTTGTCAGCTGATTCTGCTTCCTCTGCTCTATCAGACAGCATCCCAGCAGATTTGAAGGACCCTTTCTACACAGACCAGTATGAGCAGGAGCACCTGAAGCCTCCTGTGGCCAGCCTCCTGCTATCTGCAGACCTCTACTGCAGGGCTGGCAGCCTTATCCTAAAGAGTGACGCTGCCAAGCCGCTGCTGGGTCACGATGCTGTCATCCAGGCGCTAGCTCAACGCGGTCTGTACGTCACCGACCAGGAGAGACTGGTCACTGAGAGAGACCTGCGAAAGAGGCCTCTGCAAATGGTAGGGGAGCTGTGTGAAAGCTGATAAACTGTACACAGTAAAGATTCTTTCTTATGTGCGTGAATTTAGTAATGTATTAGGCGTGCACCCAGCTGTTGGTGGTAATACACTGGTAGTAAACCTTTGCTTTGCTTTCTCAGTAACTCAGACATCTGTCACGCATACAGTCTCCTTCCTCTTCCGATTATTTGATCTTGCTGTTGCTGAAACTTTACTTAAGCAGACATTCTGGTCTGTCGAGGTGCAGAAACGCATATTTTTACGCCTTCATGCACTCAAATACAAGATCACCCTGCAGCTTTTTCTCTCCCAGCTACATCGTATATTCACATTTCATGGTTTCCATAGAGTATGCTGTTCCTTTAGAATATTAGAGTAAATAAATGCATTTTACTTATTAGCTTGATCAAGCCAAGTTTAATATTGTTTGCTAAGGTACTAAATGTATTCCCTTATTTAAACTTATGTGCTTACTGATCAGGACATTTTTTCCTCCCATTATTTGTAAAACATTTCTCTATGGTAATTCAGGTAAACATGACAAACCACAGTAGTTCTTATTCATGTTCATATATATACAGTTTGGCTCATACTAAACTGTGATTAAACTACTTTGTGGAAATCACATAGTCTCTTAATGGACTATAGCTGGACACCAACAGCTTCTACACATTGCATTAGAATAACAATGCAAGACGACCAAAGTGTAACAAGAGAAAACAACAAGATGAAGAGTGTCACTTACACACATCTCTCATACAGATTTTTGTCTTGAATTTGTCATTTCTCAAGCCGATTCACACCTCAAGTCTTTTACTGCTCTGTGCAGGTTGGTATTTTCTTCATGAAAGCATGCTGTAGGGTGGGATTTACTGTACACTCGCAGCTCCTCTCAGACTGTCAGTGTCAGAGATGAGATGACTTTGCAGGAAGCATACTGCGCGAGATTGAGGTATCCTCATTATTTTGGGGCAAAATCCCAATAGGAGGCTTTATTGCTTCAGTGAATTTGCAATTGCAACACAATTAGCACACAGTATGCCTGCAGTCTGCTTGTAGAGTCTTGCTGGTTTTAATTTCCCTCCAATGCTAATGTAAAAGTTATTTAAGTTTTGTTTGCGGTTACGTTTAAAGCACTTAGTTTCCAGATTACAACAAGTGTTTCAGTGCAACCATTTCTCCCAGGTTTAAATTTTAATGGGTTTTTAAAGGTAAGGGAAATGTTGCACGTGTGAATGTTATTTGGCTAGTCTCACTAATAATAATAATAATGATGATGGATTGCATTTATATAACACTTTTCAAGGCACCCAAAGTGCTTTACAATTCCACTATTCATTCACTCACTGGTGAAGGCAGCTACGGTTGTAGCCACAGCTGCCCTGGGACAGACTGACAGAAGTGAGGCTGCCATATCGCGCCATCGGCCCCTCTGGCCAACACCAGTGGGCGGTAGGTGAAGTGTCTTGCCCAAGGACACAACGACTGAGACTGTCCGAGCCGGGGCTCAAACCGGCAACCTTCCGGTTACAAGACGAACTGCCAACTCTTGAGCCACAATTGCCCCAATGCAAGGATTCTTTATTTGATTGTAATTCACTGCGGTTCATGGCTGAATGTTGTGCTAGAGGGTGTCAGGATTTGTGTTTGTGTGACAGAGCAGGTTTTTGTGAATGTGAAAATGAGCTGTTAGAAGAGTGTGAAATTACTTTCCTTTTCCATGCTCTGTCCTGGCCTTTTTCTTCTGTTTTAATCATCTCTTCTTATCTTCTTTCTTTCTGTGCTTTTTCCTTACTCCCTAGTTACCTTCCTGACACTTTCAAATCCCCTCTTTTACTTTATTTCCAAATCTTTCCCCTTTTTTAATCATTCCCATTAAATCCAATCACTTCCCTCTCTATGTTCACTTGTCTTTTTCCTTGCTCCTTATTCCTCCCACCTCCTGTTTTGCTGTATCCCGTTGCTTTGTTCTTGGCTCTTTGTCTGCACCACCATTGGTCTTTGTCTGTTAAAAGTTGTCATTAAATCCTTGGTATTTCCAAGACTGGACATTAAATGAGACACGAAGATGTGATTTTTCTCAGTTTTATAAATGTTACCCAACAAGTCGACAAACAATCTAAACATCCAGTGCAGACAGATTCTATGTAACTCACACAAAGTGTACAAAATCTGTGCATTGTCTGAATTACGTTGATGTGAGAATAAATAATAATCCACTGAACTGACAGCTAGTGCATTGTCTTCATGAACACTCTGCTGGGGCAGCAACCTGACCCAAACCTAGCAAGTGTTTTCACTAGTGGAATGATTGCAGTTTGATAAGCACTGCGAGACAGTATTAATATTGATCAGCTGGCTGCACACTGCAGCTCAAGAAGAGCTTTATTAATTATTAAGAGACTGTTTGAGTGTCTACCTTGGCTGTTAGGTGTCTGACGTGAACTCATGTGATAGAGAAAAAGGCATTTCTTCTGGAAGAATCAGACAAGGTGGTTTGCTGTGTTGAGAAGTTTTAGTGAAAGAAAAACATCACTGCTTTTACTCCAGAAGCAGAGACCGAGCACCTGCCTGCAGCTGTATATGTAAGCTGCTCGGGATAAGAGCACCAGCAGTGTCGTTAAATAATGCTTCGTGGCATTTTGGCTTAGCATCTTTTTTGACTCAGCAGTTTGCATGAAGAATAAGAATATTCAGAATAAGCAACTTTAGAGGATGTTGAAGGCAGCTTTAGTAGGTCAGGCAGCTACAGAATCAGATGCTGCTGACGTCTTGTCTGACACGTGTCAGGACCGAGCACACTGCTGACATTTCGTTAGGTTGCCGACCCGACGTTGCTTTATAGTCGTATTTTTCTGTCCCTCTCGTTTCTGCCACTATTCTGCCCACTCAGCCTTCTCTCTTCTGCCATGTGACACATTTCTACACGGGAAGATGCAAAATCCAAATCGCAGTTTCCTCCCACTCGGTCGCCTACACACATTCTGTATCGCTGACTCTCCCCACCTGTAGTGCTCTCAAAGAATAAAGAGGGATGTCAAGGTGGGCAATACTGAAATATTGTTAGCGTTAAACATTGTCGCTCCCATGCAGCACTACAGCGAACACAATTACCTGCTGAGAAAAGCTTTAATTGCTAGGCTTGTGCTCATTTGTGGAAGTGCAGTGGCCTTCTTTGAGTGAGTCCTCTGGAATGATGGAGGATTTATTTAAAACACAAAGGTGTGTACTGCAGCAGGAATATCATGTTTGTGTTGTTTCACTGTACATGTGGCATGTGACAAAAAAGGAAGTTTGAGACAATAATCAACAGATAATCCTTATCAAATATCAAGCAGTGTCTTCACTTGAAAAATTAATCCTGGAGAAAGTCACTCTGTTGCCATGGTGAAATTAAATTATATTGGCTGGGGTGAGAATGTAGCCAAAGGACAAACTCTGTGTGTGTGTGTGTAACCTACGGAAGAGGATTAAAGCCAGTAAAAGTCTATAATTTGGGGTCATGACTTTTTGAGTCATGTTATGAAGCTATGAAGCTTAGACTTTTAAGATTAAATTCAGACTTTTGAGATTAAAGTCAAAATAAGATTTAAATCAGACTTGTGAGATTTAAGAGAGATTTATAAGATTAAAGTCAGATTTAAGAGATTGACTTCTGAATTTTGTGATGACATGCAGAACACCCTAGTTACAGTATAGTAATTGGAAACAATAGATTCCAAGAATATGTATGTTTCTTTAAAAAATCTCACAACTGAACAGTGGATGTCATAACTATTTAATTTAATAAAGCAGCAGTAAATAGTTCATGATGCCGCTATGAGATTTTCATTATATATTAGATGATAATGCGTTTATTTTGTGAACTGTATGCTCTGAATGCTGGTAGTCAGAAGCACCACGTGCTTTTTTCTGGGTTATTTACTGGCTTTATGTGTCTCTGTGACTGTATATAAGACGAACCATAAAACAAAAACAGGGTTATAGTCACTATAGTCATATTCTTTCAGAGGTTTACCTTATTGGCAGCTGTGCTCGTTACATGTATGCGAACTTAATTACATTCAACCTAGTTCTGGCCCTCTGTTTAGCTGCCTGCCAATTATATAACACATTTATTGCACAAGTTAGACTTTCACATTATATTCAAGCTTCTTAATTTGAGCCCATTTGGTCTGGAACAAACTGGACGAGGAATGTCATCTTGCAACATGCTAGCTTTGAAGCATCAAGAAACATAACTGTGTCATACGTGCATTACCTCTGCAGGACAACAGTTCCCTCTAGCAGCTGATAATACAACTGTTTTTATTGCTGGTCTGTATGATAGGACTTGTCCTACATTAATACTTTATTTATTTAAATAAAGCTGCTACTGATGAAAGGCCTGCACATGGACACCATATCAACCATTTTAAGTACATTTCCATCCCAGTTGGATTTTCGTCAGCTTGGAGTGATGAAAAATGATTGCAACAGCCATATACACACTGTGTGTACCAAATATTAGTTTTACTGTGACAGACTGATTCATCAAGACATATATATACCATGGATGGATGGAGGAGCGTGCACTTCCTCCTGTTATTCTCCCTCTCCTTTGCTGCCTCCATCACTCCTCCTATTGGGCAGGCACTCCGTTTCCATGGTTACACACCAGTTGGCCGGGTGTTGCGTTTGTGTGTAGGTGGGCGCAAGAGTGGGGGAGCTTATGCTGCATATGTCGTTATTTGCGATATGAACTTGTATGTGCAGCTGTGTGCTCTGTGTGTGTGTAGTGGCTGTTATAGTAGAGGAGATGGACTCCAGGAGAGACGCCGAAATGCAGGATTGATAGAAGCACATGGCAACGCTGTCACGTTGCTTCGTGTGCAAAGAGGCACACACAGAAGATGAATTCAGAAAATTATGTGCCAAGTATGTAACAACACACTTGTCAACATCAGACCGGCTTCCTCAGAATCTTTTTCTTCTCGTATTGCAACTGATCTTGTGAACAA